TCCAGTGAGACGTATGAAAATGTGAGTATTTGATGCTTCTGTTACTTATGTCTGGTCACCTCTGTCGGACCTTTAGCCTGGTTGTCTAACAAATATTAGAAGCATCTCAAATCTTCGTTTATCAAGAGGTGTTTTGGCCAAGTGGACTAGACGGGATACACACTACAGGCTGATTAGCATGCTGTATGTGTACTAGGGCCTTGCTGGAGACTGTGAGCATGCTCAGTGCAGCCTGAATGACGATTCTCCTGCTGTTATTGCAAACAGTGCACTGCTTAAAAGACACCAAAGCATGACAATATAGTGACACTCAATTATCTAAATCAGCTTATTTTTCAAAACAACTAAATACTTGAGCTGACTGCCGTTTTATTAAGTTAATCATCTCATGCTTGTGTTTAAACCAATTGACAAGGCTGACAAGGCTACAGTCACAGTATGATCAGGTCTACCAGAATTCAACAAAAAACATTTGTGACAACACAAGTCTTAAAATGGTCATTTGATCTTGGAGGCACTATAACATATGTGCACACTTGCAAAATAACCTAAAACAGTGTACAAATAAAATAAAATAAAATAAAATAAAAAAAACTCCACAATATGTGCCCCAATTGTGATTGTGAGTGGAAATTGAAGACCTGAGATACAATAATTGCACTTCATCAAATTGTAGAACTGTCCCGGGGAATCCTAAACAGCAAAAAAGAACATAAGACACCTAGATCTTCTTACCTTGTTGGATGCCATCTCGCTGACTGAATGCCTGGTTTGTAGGGTCTCAAGCTGGTCGAGGCACCAGTCCAGCTCCTCCAGGGTCTCTGTGGCCAGTTTCTGGTAGGCCTCCTCTGGAGGAAGAGAAGGAGGCAAGGAGTCAGATCTCAGATGCTTTAGGGGTCTAGCTGAGGCTCCCAGCAGAGGGCCCAAACTGCTGTAGACCGCCATGTTGGGATATCCCGACAGAACGCATGGGTGATTCTTCATGCTGTGCTGAAGCCCTCCACAGTGAATGATGGGGCCCCAAATCGAGCCAAAAAACAAGGTTTCCAAAAACGCCGTAATCCAAATCAGGCACCGTAACGACAAGGATCAGGAGTCAGATCTTGTGAAAAGCGGGGAACACTATATTCCTTAAGAAAACATACAAAGAGGCCACACAAACCAACACTCACACCGCTCACAAACAAGACGACAGTCAGTCGTACAACACTCGACTGCAGAATCTATAGTCCTACATGTCAAGGAGCCTGGAGTGAAACCTCTCATCTCGGGACAGGGAGAATGTCATTGCTGTGGGCAGGCCCATCACTGCGTGACAGATGCCGGTCTACATCCAAGAAGCAGAGTAGCGTGCTGTGGCCCTTAGGAGCATGCGATCCGACCCATAACATAGCATACAGGCATAGTGTCATAACAATAACACACACGTATACTCGCTCACACACTCATACGAGCACAAACGCAAAGCATACGGAGAGCTGACGCCAACAGATGAGTGACTTGTCCCTGTTTCCAATCCTTAAGCTGAGCTGCCGCAAAAGAGAACAAAGGTGCTCGCATCTGCCTGCCCTCTTTTCTCAGAGCAGTGGATGCCCTGCACGAGCACGGGGCAGCCGTGGAGCGTCGCTAGCTGAACGTGAGCCGAGCTTCCTCTTGAAACAGAAGCCTAAAGCCTGGCAGTGCTGCTGCATGCAGGAGAGAGAGGACTTCAGCTAAAACCTGACATGAACTTTACAGGATTTGGAGAATGAAGAGCTCAGGTCCTTCACAGCTGACACTCCGAGAAAGGCTAGAGGTGTCCAGTGTGTTTTTGTTCTTAGAGAGGATGCTTTAAGATTTGTTTATAAAGATTACAAATAATTTAGTGCTGAAATTGTGGTCAGCATTTCAACTTTGCTGAGATGGGACCATTAATGACATTCAAAATGTGTGCTGTTTTCATGATTTTAAGGAAATTTGCAAATGTCTGCTGCATGTGCATTTTCGAAAAGGTTAGGATGACCATATGAGGGCATAAAAATAAGCAAAACAAAATAACAAAAGACTTACAAAACAGACGTCAGTGCAGCTATTCTAGACATGTTGCTTACTGGAAGCAACTATAAAAACAAAGCAAGACAGAATGCATGTGCCACATGTACACTCCTTTAACAAAGCACACATTATCTTATTCATTGCCTGTCTGTGTGTGTCTCTCTCTCTTTCTGCATGTGTGGTGAAGTACACAGGGCTGGGGTGCCACTTTCTCTGAAAGAGACTGCACTGACGTCAATGACATTCTTCTGGTGCTTAGCACGACATCATACACCAGCCCATGAGAGGGCACTGGCTCCAAAGACAGGAGAGCTGTGGCGAAAAGCTGGACTGGATTCCTCCAATCTGGGTCACAGGCTCTTACTACCCTGTGAGCAAGGAAATCCTAATCAAAACATTTGAGGATTTGTTCGGATACACTAGAAACCACCAAAAAATACCTTAAAAGGAATAGCTAAAAAATAAATGTCTCTTCTAATCCTGTTTGATCACATCTTTATTCTCCTAATTGTGAGCAGAATTTGTATAAATTATATAAAATGTATACATTTGTATAAACTTAACTGGGCTTGACTAAAATGCAACTGAATGCAAGTTTAAAAAATATATATATATATTATTATTGAACAGTGTTTATAGAGTTTTCTTGTCGCTATGTGGATTCTAAATTGTTTGGAGTGGTTTTTAGTTCCAGGTAGGGCTGCACGATATATCGAAATTATCGAAATATCGCAAATGTAAATATCGCAATATGCATATCGCAATGGCGTGCGATATCATTATCATTTTAATAATAGGCTACTTAAATCAAAACGTTGCAAAAGGTCAAAGTTTTAGTTCGACGCATATAGCAGAGAATTGCTTGACGTTAAAAAGAGTTAAGTGCAATAAGTTGCAGAAAACAACCTGAAACGCGCGCACAAGCCGCATCTCGCGCAGCGTCTCTTCCGTTCTGCCGCACACGTGCAAAGCGTGCGCACACATAGAGAGACGCGTTTCAGATGGCGCGCGAACACCGAGTTGATTCGTCTTTCGCATCTCCTCATGATTGAACAGACACATACACACAGAATTATGTCAATAGTACCCGTCTCGACGATCATTCTCGTAAACGCAGTCGGTTATGTTTTAAATGAATGTAAACAGCTGAGAAAGAAATCGGATGTGTATCATTATACTGGATCCGTGCAGTCGG